CAAACGGTGAAATGCTTGGGACCCGACTGAGGGGAAGAAGGAAGGAGTGAGCGAGAGAGAGAGAGAGAAAAGGAAAGAATCGGGGAAGAACCGGTTTTCCTTTTCGGCCCACCTCGTGACAGCTTCCGAGACCCGGGAGCACCGCGCGCGATGGCACAGAGGGGCAATAAAAAGCACATAAACAATACCCGTAATTTTCGAACGGATCAAGAAAGAACCGAGAGGGCTCGAGCGAAACCTTCTCGACCGTTATGGCCGTTATCCTACGTATCGAACATCGCCATCGCAGTACGAGCTGGATGCAACGCGAGCGATTGATAAAGAAACAATCGTGAGAGATCGACATATTGAAATCAATCGCTCGCTCGTTATTGTGAAACAATATAACAGTGTATTAAAACAGATCAAAGTAGGTGTACAACGTTATTTCCTCATTATTAACAATATAGCGAAACTGGTTTTTCCCTTACTGGGGGTCCTTCTCAATCGCAAATTTAAATATATAGTTAAAATTAACCTGAAGTCGATAGTCGGTAAAGTGTATACAATAATAGTAAACAAATACAAATAATAATGCTAGTCATTTACAATGAAATTCCTTTTAACGGCCAATCAATTAAATAACACGAGATAAACACAATAAACGAAGTCATGTGATAAAATCGTTAAAACAGTGTCGTTCGAAATAAAGATTGATGTAATTTAATAAGTGCTCGACATCAAATTAAAACGGCCGGTTTTTCAACGTAGTAAAGCGTTATTTTTTTTCTTTTTAATTACGAGCGTGTCCGTAATATTCCAGAGTCATTTGATTTATTTGATCGGAATGTCAAGTGTCGCATTCCATGATTATAATCTGACAGATGATATGACCATGATTCGACAGTTTTATAACGGATTCTTGACATATTAACATGCGACACGTACTTTCCTAGATATACGCGCGGCAATTATCACATGTCAATGTCGCTCCTGTATCATATAAGCCGCGCTCGGGCACGAAACGACCGAAAGTATTAATCGCGAACACATTCGCGCATATTCCGCCTCTAGGATTATTCGCCGCGGAAGTAGAGGGAAAGTGGTAGTACAGAAGCAAAAAAAGAAAAAAATAATAAAAAAAAAAAAGAAAAGAAAAAGTCCGTGAGCGCGGTTGACCGAACAGCGCACTGCGCGCACAGCTCCGAGAACGATGCGGTGCGCGCAGTGCATGTGCTGCTGCAGGTACATACTTACATATAGGTATACGTGCGCGCACCTCGGGATTGCCACAATCGCGGATAATAAAGCGCTCCGCGGCGGAGCGCGGTCGTTTACGCCGCGTGTTCGTTACGCCGTGACTCATTGAAACGACGGCTATCGACGCCAACCGCAGGAGAGAAGACTCCGGGAGAGGCCGGCGGGGAAGGAGAGGAGGGAGAGGGAGGGGGGAGGGGACGGCTTCGGTATGCAGTTGCTCGTTTGGGGAATGCAGAAAATATCGCGCGACATTCCGCGCGGCGTTGCCCATATTCGTTCCGCAACAGGTTTCGAATTATCCTCGCTCCTCCCGTTACATTCCGTCCCTTCCCGACGCGCACTCGTATCCTCCCCCCCTCCCCCTATCCCCTGCTGATACCAATCGCTGAAAATATAATTAAGCCGGATAATTTACCCTTGAACGGTAATCAGAGACTGCAGTCTTAATTTTACGACGTATTTCAGGCAACAACGTTACGAAGAGAGGAAGAAAGATGTTATCGAGAGATTTTAATTTCTTTTTAACTTCGCAGCAGAAACCGATTCGCTCCCTGAGGCTCTCGCGGATTTTTATGCGCGTATTCGCGCATAAAATTTTCGTAGATATACCGAGAGTGTTTCGGTATTTGTGACTCTGTAATTGCATGGTTAAAGTAATTATTATGAGCTCCATTTTTATAGTTATTACATTGCTATAATGTCAGTAATAATAATCTTATATTCATATAGCTCTACCAATTATGAAAAATTGTGCGCTATAAATCACGATAATTTCAAATATTAATATATTAAAATATCACAGATGATATTTTACTATATTAATTGATGACATTTACATCAATTAATTAATATTATTATCGATTTATATTATAATTGATGATATTTAATAGATATATCAAAACATAGATGCTGGAAATCAAATAAATATTTTTAGTAAATGCAACTACAATTATAGTAAATATAATCATTTTCTTAACTTTTGCTTACTATTTACATAATAATAGCTAAAAGATGAGTCAAAGAAAAAATAAATAAACAAATACAATCACTTTCGCGATATATGTATAAGTTGCATAAACGCATATCGTAATTGAATCGTAATGCAGTTGAAGCAACTATAGAAATTGCATGATTAAAATAACAAATAAATATAATACATACGTATATATATATAAACAACAAATAAATATAATACATATAATCGGCACCAAAAATAATAAATAATAATACTTAATAATAATAATAATAATAGTAATAACAGTACCTTTATTGAATATATGAGAATTAAATGACTATAAATTATAGTTTTAAATTATGGCAATTACAGCTATATTTTTTTTCTCTCACAAGTAGTGCACGAACCCATGTTTTTCTATAAACGAAACTGCTTTTTTCTGTATCGATCCTTTTTCTCTTATATACAACAAGGACATTTATTTCGTTCACCTGCAGTATCGCGCTTCCGCAAGGTGGATAACCGTTAACGCTCTCACGTGCCACATGTCGTTGATCTCGACAAATCGCCGAACGATTTGATTACGATCTACCTGTTTACCGGATAGCGCACTTAAACTGACAATTATCAATTGACCGGCCCCGAGTACGTTGCGTATGCAACGTTTTCCGCTGCGAACGACCGCGGAGTGGCAGCGCCGGTGAAAGCGCGACCATCAATGGCAACTTTACGTATACGTGATAACGCAGCTCGCGCGCGATGATCACCGCTTCCATGTAGCAGCCGATGCCTGTACGTGTCCCTGCACTCGTGAACCCTCTCCGCGACGTAAGTGCAATACACCGCGCGCGCGTGACATAATCTTACGAGGTTCAATGAGATGCGACACACTCGCGCGCAAAGTGATATAATCATCCTCGTTGCGTAAAGCAGGCTAACGAAGGCTGCAGTTAACAACGGTCGTTCCAATCAATATATTCCTCGGCGGAGATCGCGAATTCGCCTAACGGCAAATGCAATTAGCCACGCGGTTATTATTCAACAATATGCAATTAACGGTCGTTCCTTTATTGCAAAATGGAGAAGTAACGACTGTGTGAATCCGAGACGATGTAACGTAGATACGTCAGGTTATATCATCGAAATGTCCAATACGTTGACATAGAGGCTCGTCTTCCTCTTCCTCATTCTATTGTCGCGGCCGCCGACGTATGTCATTACGAGTCACCACGCGGCGCGAATATCGTACGCGCAAAATAATGGTACACGCATATACATCGCGCGATTATACGAACGTCAATCCGAGAAGACAAAGACCTGCCCGTACAGACAAATGTTATACTGATGTCGACTTATATCTTACATCTCGCCTCGACGCACCGTCAGGAATACGACACACGTTGGATTTACGTTATTTTTAAATCGTTGAACTTCTGCATGTTCTTTGTTCTTAGCAAACAATCGAAACAACCAGCCCCGTAAAAATGATGGATTTCAGATTTTTTGTTTCAAATTGCAGAAATTCTTAAAATTCTTTCATTGAAATTTATGTTGACTTTTGTAGAAATAAAAAAAAATAATTATATCAATACGCCAACTTATCTTTCATTTTAATTTCGTATATAAAAATTTTAATTTTATATATAAAAATAAAGGATGTCTGGTAAAAAATCTTTATACTTTATATTTATCGAACGTAGTATATAAAATGTATCCATATGTTTCTTTTCTTTTATATAATTTCTGTCTATATAGAAAAAATAAAAACAATTATAAAATAATTAGAAGAATAATTTTCGCATTGTTTTTTTTTTATATAAAATGAAAGAAGAAATACAAATTATAAAAGAAAAGGACAAAATATATGAACATATTTTTTGTATAATTATATATGTATATTTGATTATATATAGATTTTTATTTACTGTATGCTAATAACATCAAAATAACGCTGATTCACCAAAAAAAAAATTCGATTGTTCAATGGTAATCTTTGATTTTTCTGTAATATACAGCCTCAAGAAGGTACCTTAAAATGTAGAGGAATGTTGTGTAACTTGATCATAGCTCATGCTTTCACTTTTTTATAGATGAATACGTGTTATAAAGGAATGTTTCATATAAGATTTTTTGCTAGACGAAATGACAAGAATTCCCCACTTATAAGTATAAAAATATTTTTTTGGATGTCGTTTTAACAATAAGTGCTAAACATCATATATCTCTGGATAGGGATATCGGAGCTACGCGATCATTCAGAAACGAATCGAAAAACGCGTCAAAGCTAGGATGTGTACGCAAATGAGTGCGCGGTCGGCCTTGTTGAATATTTTTCTCCTAAACATGAAAACAAACGATTGAGAGCCTCATTATCTCGCGCGAGATCGAAGGCTATTCAACTCCTACCAATGTCATGCTCGGCGGCTTTTAGATTTGGCGGTCATCCTTTCAAAGATTCAGTAGCGATTTAACCCCCCGATCGCGACACGCAATATTTGCCCAAGACAGACAGGCTCGGCAAACAGTACGATTTCGTACGCGTTCGCGGTCGGAGCGCCCGCGATTGCGTTTCCGTGATAATCATCATTTTTTTTATTTACAAAAACAATTTTATTATTATTTTTAAAACAATTCTTTTGTTTACAAAGATTGCGCCGATTTTAACCGGACTGAGTATAAAAGAGTGAAATTGTATACGAGTGATTGGGTATAAAAAAGGAGACGCGGCATACGCGACTGCATCAGTACGCGACACTGGCTTTGCAAATCGTTATCGACCGCGTCGGTCTTTTTTTTATCTTTACAGGATGAGGAGGAGCGGCATGAACGGACGAGGAGTCGGCGACAACGGCGAAGGAGCGCTGATCCTGCTCCTCGTCGCATTGACTCCTGTTATCTGCTCCGCCGGAATCCTGGACCCTTGGCAGTGGGCGCGCAGCGATCGGATCGAAGTCAACATACCTTGGCTGCCTTGTAACTATTGCACAGATTAGATAGAAAATTCAACTGCAGTAATGCTAAGGCCCATCCACATAAGTTACAAAACGCAAACGCGAACGTTTCTCTCTTTTTTCCTTTTTTTTCTCCGCGTTTGCGTTTGCGTTGTGCGTTTGCGACTTATGTAGATGAAGCTTTAGCTTTACTCTCCTTCACAATGTCCGAAATGTATATAGGCATACATGCCGCCGGCTAAAAGTTTAGGAGACCATTAATTGAAAATATATAATTTAACATATTGTTATTATTTTACTCAATATTTTTTATAATAAAATGAAAATTCTGCAAAAAAATGCTTCTTACATAATTTCTTACAAGAAAAGCACTAAAGAATATTAGGTTCCTTTTTTATCGAAGTAGCTATCCTTACTCAATTAATCACTTTTTTTTTATTAATCTAGATAATCTAAGTTTACAAATTTATTTATTTTTTCTGAACAGAAGACTCTTCCAATCCTCTTTTAGAACAGTTCTGCACTCAGTTTTGGAAAAAGGTGCACGATCAGTAATCCATTTTCCTGAAATTGAACACTGTTATGTTGTGTTATACAGGGTGTCCCATTTTAATGTCCCACCCCAAATAACTTTTTTACTTTTGATCTTAGAAAAAAATGTTTCAGACAAAAGTTGTATGGCTTTGAGGGGGATATCAGATGATGACATTGGTTTGACCCTGAGTGGCGTCGTCAAGGTCAGGACAAGATTACTTTGAATTTTTTTAATGGAATTCCCTATTTTTCATTGTGTATTCTTATAGCTTATTTCGAAAGATTTCCAAAACACATAGATAAAATGTTTTTTGGTTAAGTAAATCTCGAGTTATAAAGCTTAAAAGTTACAGTACCACCGGCATTAGCAAGGTGTCCGAACAATGGCTGTAACCCGTTTGAATGTTGTTCAGGATCATGAGCTTGACAACATGTGTTAAAGTCATGATTATTGGAGAATGTTTCTCTTTTTTCAAGAAATAAAAATAATTTTCAAAAATAAAAATAAGAAAAACAATCTCCAATGATCATGGCCTTGATACATACTGTTAAGCTCATGATCCTGAACAACATTCAAAAGGTTTCAGCCATTGTTCGGACTTAGATAATGCTAATGCTGGTGGTACTGTAACTTTCAAGCTTTATAACTCGAGATTTACTTAACCAAAAAACATTTTATCTATATGTTTTGGAAAGCTCTCGAGATGATCTACAAGAATGTGCAATAAAAAGTATAGGAGGTTCCATTTAGGAAATTGTAGGTAACTTTCACATGACTTTCGAGCAACTATTCAAGGTCACACTAATGACATCACCTTATGTCCCCCTCAAAGTCATACAACTTTTGTCTGAAACATTTTTTTTTAAGATCAAAAGTAAAAAAAGTTATTTGGGATCGGACATTAAAATGGGACACCCTGTATAATCATAACTGTGCTAATGCCTATTTACTTTCAAATTCAACTTTCAATAAGGAAAAAATATTAAGTAAGGCATGAATCGAATGGTTAGGTAGTGTTTCACTGGAATATTCTTAAATTTTATATGTGGTCTCGAAACTTTCGACCGACACATAAGTGCAGTATATTAAATATACATATGTATATATATTGAAATTTATTGTCTTTCACTCACGCATCTTTTGTAGACTGCCAGCTATGAAGTTTTTCTCATCGTAGGGTAGATATTGTTCATGAAAAGTAAAATGAAATTTCATCGAAATGAGCAAAATGCACAGTGGAGGAACGAATTTCTTTCAGTCGAGAACGAGACGCGCTGCTACGACGAGCTGGGCTGCCTGAACATCACCAGGAGCTGGTACCACCTCATTCATCGGCCCCTCAACGTTTTCCCGCTACCGCGAGAAGTCATCAACACCAGATTCATCCTCTACACGAATCAGAATCCCCTGGACGTAAGTGAAGGCCGCGACGCGTTTCCGGATTAAAAAGACCCAGGCGCGGTATCCCTGCACGGTGCGAGCGTCTCGCGAAAGCACGTTTTGCGCTTTGGCGAGTTAACGCGAAAGTGAAACTTGGGTGAGATAGATTGGAATTCTCTCCGGCGACTGGAATTTCACGGCTAGTAAATCCGACACGGTGTACAAACGCTTCCGCATATACATAACGCCGCGTGCGCCGCCGCACACATCGTGAAATTGTATTAAGAGTATAAGTATATAGCCCCGTCGCGCGGACATTCCGTCTTGTGCGACAAGAATAACTGTACGGAGGTTAATCCTCTCGCCTCTTATCGCGAGGCGGGATCAGCCGTCGATATTTTAATGCCCGCGGATATATCTTAATTACCTTCATTAATTAAACAAAAAAACTGCACGTGCCGGCGCGGCGTGCAGCAGGCGGTGCTATATACGCCGCGCCGCCCGACGCGCGCGCTATTCTCTTAACGTACGGCAAAAGATAAGATCTCTGATTTATGAATTAACGGACGTATCCGAAGAGGAAGAGAGCCGCGGTGGGCACTCTCAAGTATATCGAACGCGCTATCAGCGGGCATAATGCGCGCCCGGTGAAATCACATACCTACCGCATATATAACTGCGCGCACGCAAGTGCACATACATATATCATCCGCCTCGCTATAAAATCGCTGAATCGTGAAATTATAATAAATACTTTTGCGTACTTACGCGCTTGGCGATTGGCGAAATTAGCCAATACAATCCGTCGTAGCGAATACATCGCTATTTTTTTTACTATTAATAGTAACAGAATATTAATAGTAAAAAAATAGCGATGCATTCGCTACGACGGATTGTATTCGCTAAACTATCTTCAAAATCAGACGCGTTATTTTCTCTTCCAATGAAAACAATAATAAAACTACTAAAGTTGCAACAAACACAGACTTATAACTACAATGTTGTAGAAACAATGTAATATTTCTGCAATGTGGCTGGAATGATACAATGCCGCTGCAACATTGCAATTATAATCTGTGTTTTGCTACGATTTTAATAGTTTTATTATTGTTTTCCTTGGAAGAGAATAACACGTCTAATTTTGAAGATAAGTTTTTGCTATATTTAGCAAATTAGAATAAATACTTTTGTGTACTTACGCGCCTGGCGATTGGCGAAATTAGCCAATACAATCAGTTGCGTTATTTTCTCTTCCAATAAAAACAATAATAAAACTATTAAAATCGCAACAAATACAGACTTATAACTACAATGTTGCAGCAGCATTGTACTATTTCAGCCACATTGCAGAAATATTCCATTGTTGCTGCAATATGGTAGTTATAAGTCTGTGTTTGTTGCGATTTTAGTAGTTTTATTATTGTTTTCATTGAAAGAGAAAATAACGCGTCTGATTTTGAAGATAGTTTTTGCTGTATTTAGCACCCATCCTTCTCAACAATAATAATAAAAAAAGAGAATACGTGCGTCACGCGTTTGGGATCTAAAATCAACGGACGGATATTTTTCAACGAGCTCCTCGAAACTGAGCGACTATTTTTGAAATCACGCATGCACTTCGTAATGTGTATACCCGTCATTTTTTTCCCCCAGGGTCAAATATTAAAAGTGGCCAAGGATAAATCCATCGAAAACTCAAACTTCAATCCTAAGCGAAAAACCAAATTCATTATACATGGCTTTATAGACACTCCGCTCAGCAATTGGGTCAAGGTGAGCCTATTCTTTTATCCTGTACGATACTCGCTCGTCGTCATGGAATTTTTATTGAAATCCTTGCCGTTATGTTATACGCAATCGAATTGTCATACTCATATAATACCAATTGCATGTACCAAAGACTATATGCCTACGTCGTACATCTCTATCGCCTGACCGTCGGCCGTCTATCGCGAGCTAGACGAGTACCGGTAGAGAAATGTACTCTCTGCTTATACATTGCGTCAGTGTTTTCAAATAAAATACGCGCGACCTAGTGGCACAGTTACATTTGATGACAAGACGCAGTCTCTTCTTGAGCAACGCGCGAAAATTACCGCCGGCATTACTATCCTCGAAATATGTATACCCATAGGAGATGAGGAGCGAGTTGTTGGAGCACGGCGATTACAACGTTTTTGTGGTCGACTGGGCTGGCGGAAGTCTACCTTTGTACACCCAGGCGACGGCGAACACGAGACTGGTCGGACTCGAACTGGCTCATCTCATCAAGCACTTGCAAGTAAGAGGTGTCCCTACAGATTTTAACCCCTTAAATGGTGTGCCCAAAAAAAGTTTCACGATACAGTCTGCATTCAACAATTTAAACTTTTATTGCACTTTTCTTAATCTCATAGCAGACACAAATAAAATTTATATATATATTTTTTTATTTTATTTTATTTTATTTTTAAAAATTCAATTCTTCAAAGATAATAGCAATAAAGACAAAAGAAATTTATAGATATGCTGATTAAAAAGAAATCTGCTCGAGGGAATCCCGCAGTCATTTTATATAAATCACTGAAAAGATTAAATACACGCCGTAGACAAATTATACTATATCTTCAACACAACTGAAATGAAAAATACGGACGTAATATCTGAAAATAAAACCTGGTACTCATATCATCAACCGTGATAGTGATGGAAATTTATGATAACGCCGTAACGTGAAGATGATTTTTATTACTGATTGTAGCACAAAATATATCATATTTATACATATCTATCGTATTTACAAATCTGTTCTTATTTCTGGTGAAATTGCAGACAAACTACGGTCTGGATCCGAACGACGTGCATTTGATCGGGCACAGCCTCGGCGCCCACACGGCCGGTTATGCGGGCGAGAAATTGGGTGGCAATATCGGCCGTATCACCGGGTTGGATCCCGCAGAGCCGTATTTCCAAGGAATGCCGAGCCACCTTCGCCTGGATTACACGGACGCCCGGCTGGTAGACGTAATTCACACCGACGGAAAGAGCATATTTTTCTTAGGTAAAAAACAGCGTCGAATACATTCTTTTCTTTTTATCGAGTTTGTCCGTGCATAAAACGAGGGATTAATTGTAAGAAGATCTATTGATTAGAACGATCCGAAAGACAACAATCTATCAGAACTGCAATCGACAGTATAGTTCTCCAATAAGCTAAACAAATTATAAGACACGTGCAACTTGCGAATAATAAAAATTCAGGCAATTAAGTTCATCAATCTGCGAAATCTCGTGAAAATTTATCTAGCTTCTTAAATAAAACTTCTTAAATAAAAAGAGAAATATCTCGACTGTATAGCTTTTTAAATAAACTTTTTAAATAAAGAGAAAAATACCTCAATTATACGAAAGCAAAAAAAAATAATTCTACTTTAAGAAAAATGTTTTAATCGTATCAATAAGAAGTATTTGGCAGAGAATACATTTTGGTAAAATCAAATAGAGAATTTTTTAACTTGATAGCTAGAATATTCAATAAGCGTTACTATAAGGATTGGATTATTATTTTCGATTGAATCTAAGAAATTTCTGATTATATTCACTAGACTAGTTCTTTTTACTAAAAAGTTATACTGATGTAATAATTGAATAAATTTAATATTATAAAAAAATTTATGCTATATGTAACAGGAAGAAAATTAATCAGGTACAACTGATAATTTCTAGAAGAATTTTGATTTGTTCGTTTTCCAATAGACATACTGGTTAAACCAGATTTTCAAATAACTAATTATATATTTAACAGGAAGGAAATTAATTATATACGTCTGAGAAATTCTAGAATTTCAATTTGTTCATTTTCCAACAGATATACTGGTTAAAAATTTCCAAAGACCAGATTTCCAAATAACTAATTAAGAACTCTTGACATTAATTACGCAATTTTGTTAATAAACAAAATAAGGTTAATAAGAGTCTAGCGCGAGCGACAGTGCGCAGTTATATTTTGCAAAATAGTGAACTAATAATAATAATAATAATAATAATAATAAACATGTTTATAATTATTTGCTGAGGATGGCTAAAAATTGAGCCAAAATGTTCAAAACTGGTTATATATATATATATATTAATTTAATATTTTACAAAATATAACTGCACACTGTCGCCTGCGCTAGACTCTTATTGGCCAGATTTCCAATTTATGCAACCAAATTTTTCTTGTTCCAATTAGTAAATTTAATTGATATTGATACGTCAAAATAAGATCTTTATGCTTGTCAGTCTTCGTTTCGATAAATCCTCTGATAAACGGAGAGCCCCGTCGCGTTTCCCCGCCGTGGGTGCACGTCCTCGAAACTAACGTAGTACATGGCAAGGCCTTCCAGGGTACGGGATGAGCCAGCCGTGCGGGCATCTGGACTTCTACCCGAACAACGGCAAGGAGCAGCCCGGCTGCACGGATCTGAGCGAGACCACGCCGTCGTTGCCGCTCACCCTGATACGGGAGGGCCTCGAGGAGGCGTCGCGCGTCCTGGTCGCCTGCAACCACGTGCGCGCCCTCAAGCTCTTCATCGAGAGCATCAACTCCAAGTGCCAGTACGTGGCGCACGAGTGCTCGAGCTACGCGAGCTTCCTGCGGGGCGAGTGCTTCTCCTGCAGGAGCAACAACAGCCTGAGCTGCGGCGTGATGGGCTACCACGCGGACACCAGTCCGGCGCTGGTGAAACGCCAGGCGATGGGGCAGGACGTCTCGTCCTTGCTGGGCTCCAAGTTCTTCTTCATGACCGGCAAGGAGGATCCGTATTGCAGTGAGTACGGTGTTTGTTGAAGGCGGCTGAGCAGCGGTTTCTTATACGTTCTTAAACGGCGGATAAATTCTTAACGGAGGATTTTAAGCTTCAAGCGCGTGCTATTTCTCGCGTATTCAGGGTATCTAATTGTACAATTCAGGCTGTGGCTATCAGACTGTACGATCCTCGGCACGATACGTAAGAACATAAGGCTAATGCCGATGGACAGTTATTTCGACCGTTATGGAATTAAAAGCGATAAACTATTAACTTTCCCAATAGTAATAACCGCGCTTGAGAACATCGTCGAGACCATCAGCTTTCCATTACAATACTCTCTCGTGCTTTCAGATGGGCATTTTGATCGGGCGTGTCGTAAAGGTGTCGTGCGCGAGAAATATATCGCAGCTACGCGATTAAAAGTCTTCCGCCGCCGTTAATTTCGAGATCCGAGATTTATTCGATGCCTGGTATACAGGCTGTTCGTTTAATTTCTCGCTATCGATGCGAAGAAGACCGTCTACCGTGAGCAATGCGGCTTTTCTCTATCGCGACTTTCTCTGCGCGCGATAAAAGCAGCGGCGTCTCTCTCTCTTTCTTTCTCTTTCCCCTCCCGATCTCTCTCGAGACACACTCTTTGATACCGATCGTAATCGTCTTTTAGGAAGACATTACAGAATCACCATCAACCTCGCCCGACCGCCGACCGCGGAGAGCTGGGTGCAGGGCTTCATGAAAGTCACTCTCCACGCCGACAAAGGCGTGATACGCAACATGGATCTCACGCCCAGGCAAGTAATCGTTATCGCCGCAATAGCCCGCACTCGTCCACGTCGCGGTCCCTGCCGCGCGATGAACGGCGGAGAGGATCGAGGACCGCCGTCCCGCTATTTAATTTAATTTCACGCTTCGCGCGATCGTAAACGACGCGAGCCACGTGGGGGAACGTCGCGTGGACACGCGTGTGCTCTCCTCTGTTCTCGCGCGCATGTGTTTCGAGCGAGAGACCATCGATCGCGAGAGAGACCGGCGCGTGACGTGAGTCCGTTTTTTTTTTTTTTTTTACGACCGGGCTCGATCTCGCGCTCGACGGTCTGTGTCCGGTGTTCTTTTTTATTTTTATTTTTTTAATGGGAATTGCCCTTCCCTCGCAGCGGCTACATGAAACTGGAGCACGGTTCGACCGCGCGGATGGTCGTGGCCCATCCGACCGGTTCCGTCGGCAACATCGGCAAGATCCGGCGGATCGAGCTCTCCTGGGTCTACGACATGGACGTGCTGCAGCCTAGGTCCCTGTGCTTCTTCTGGTGCAACGACCGGCTGTACGTCAATAGCGTCAAGGTGGACGCCATGGACCTACCGGGCAGAGGGTGAGGAATTGGAGCGCGACAGGAGATAAATGTTCCCTTATCCCCTTCACCGGTGGGCGGGGGGAGACGGGGGGAGGGGAAGGGGGATCATCTTCTCGTATATGCATATATGTATACCTAACTCGGCTCCGCTTTCAGAAAACGGGAGGTGGATTTCTCCAGCAAGCTCTGCTCGGCCGGCAGGCGGGAGTACACGGAGATCGCGAGCGGCTCCACCGCCACGTTCCTCGACAACTGCTGATCCGATCCCGATTTCCCGCGCTGGGAAACATCGCATCTCGGGCGGCGCGCGTCGTATAATTACAAAACAGCCGGGCGGCTTGCCTATATCATTCGCGGGAGGCGATTCTCGAAAGTCGGACAACGATGATGATGATGATGATGATGATGACGACGGCGACGATAATGATGATGAAACGAAATGGAGAGAATCGCGATCCCGCGCGTAATCCCTCGGTAATTTCTTTCGCCGGCGATATAAGTACGCGACGGAAGAGGCCCGTTTTATGTGCTCCCCGCGGGCTCTCCTCTATTTATCGCAACCGATCTGCCGCTTTCTTCAAACCCGCGATCCCCGGACGGCACCGCGGCTATCCAATTAACACTTCCACGTACGGAGACGGTCTGACGCAACTCGCCGCTACTAACACGACACGCCTGTAATCCGAGTTCCTAGAGATCCGTCCGGGCGCGAAGATCTGATCCTAATAATCGCGCCTAATAAACGCCGATTGAGACGCGACGATTGCGAAAGCGCGTTCGTAGGAAGTGAAATTCTTAGCGGACAGAGATGCCCGCCTGCGGATGCGAAATCGGACAGAGCCGCCGCGAAGCCTTGTGTGCCTCCGTGATCAGAAAAGTCGCAACTCTTCGCAATTGCTTTTCTCCTTTTTGGTAAAACGATTTCTTCAGTATTAGTATTGATCGATTTACTATGTACATGTTGTATATATAACAGTAGGCGTTGACGCATTAAAATTAATTTCTTGCGGATGTGATTATCGCTTAGAGTCTCGAGTGATCGCTAATGTAAGGCTTCTATTAAACTCGGTCTATGTATTATTATACATATACTTGTTCTTTTTTTTTGTACGATGACACGATTATCGTATTGTCTCTCGCGAATATGACGATGGGTTGTGATATTCTCTTATAACTTAAGGATCATATGTATGGTATATATATATATACACACACATACATATATATATATATATATATATATATGTATATATATATATTATATATTTATATATATAACAGATGCGCAAAATGCGGTGATTCAAAGATGACAAACTATACTGCTATTTGCTCATAATCTTTATAAATAAAGTGTACAAAACATGTAATGAAAAGGCAATTCTTGTTAGTTTTTTTTTTTGTGATAGGAATATTCTCCGAGCTATTTTTAAATATCTTGTATAGATTGTTGCATTGTAAAATAAAGTTTATTAGTTATAAGTATGGATACTATTGCACAAAAATAAAATGGGGATATTTTTATAAAATATATGTGAGATTTGCGTGTTTTTTTTTTCGTGGAAGTTTATCGTAAAGTGTGTCGTTATTCTTTTCGTTTTTTTCTTTCTTTCTGGAGATCTCGGGGGAAAAAAAGATCGAAGAAACACATCTGCGACTACAGCTTGCTAATCTTTCGCAGTGTTTACTCCTCGATAAAACGCTTTACACGTCAATCCGTCGCTTATACAAAAAGATTATCGCGGAGCGCAGCTATACACGGTAACACATGATTCTTTCCTTTTTTTTTATCTTACACGAGATTCAACAATGATTGAGTAAAAAAGCCGTCCACGTTTGTTCGACGCGGTAACAAGGGATTGGTAAAATATATAATATGATATAATATAGCGATATACATAATATAATCTAATATAATCTCTAAAATCTGTCATATAACATAGAATCTGTATATAAATAATAAATAGGAAATAAGGGAGAGCGGGGGTCGATTGTGTGTGATTAGCTTGGTAAGACTTTAGCACTAAATTACCGTTACGAAGAACATTTATATAGGAGACTATGGGGGAGGGGAGAGGGGGAACTGGTGACTGGACAAACAAGAAGAGTGTGTGTGTGTATTTGTGAAGATAAATTGAGAACAGTGAAAGAGAGAGAGAGAGAGAAAGATAGAGAGAGAAAGAGATAACTAACAATAGACGTGACTATACAGCTGATTCATTTGGCATAATAGTCTAGAGCGGACTTTTTTTCTAGCGCGATAGGATACGGTCAGTGAAGATCATCGACCCAAGCGGTGTCTAATGACTCGATGAGAGTACGGACGAAGGCCATCTCCTTCCGTGCATTCTCTAAGATCACCCGAGGATCTTGGGACGTACACCGCAATACATTCGGCGCCATCACCATCGCAAGATTATTGGCGTCCATTTTAGTACGGGCGACCACCTCGGGTCTAGCGAATATCTGTAAAGTCGTTTCAGTATCGTAGCATCATCATGTTCTCCAAAAGGCGTTCCATTCAATTTGATTCAACGGTGTCGAATGCATGCTGGTCTCTCGTGTCTCTCGTACTCTCACCGTGCGTTTAGCGTTAAAATTGTCGCGTGCACATCCAGGATTTACATTCCGTTTAAAGAGCTCGCGCGATAAATTTCGAACGTAAAACACGAATTTAGAATCAGCAGCGATTGGACACGCTTAGCTTTGCTAAGCGCACGGTGAAAATAGCAGACGAAATTTTCATTCAGCTTTCTCTTATTGAGAATGTATAAAATGTTATAGCCTCTTACCTGTAGGAAGCGTATTAGATGACACAGCACACGACGGTTAAGATCTGGTAGACGTTCGACGATCGCGGCGACATTCGCCGCGGACGCTTCCGGATCGTCGTGCCGCATGGACACGCATTCCATGTAGAAGGAGTCCGGTATCAATGGCTCGTACAACTCGCGCACCCATAATTTCAGCAGAGAGGCGGGCGCGTGAGCGTCCTGAGAAGCTGCCAGAATCGCCCCGTCCTCGAACCTGTCCAGACAGGACTTCAGCGCGCTGACCTCGTCGGCGTCCGCGGACACCCGGAAGATACCCTCGGTCAGCGTGCCGCCGCGCACGAGCACTTGGCGCGTCAGCGTGGTCTGTATCCATGGTAACTCTCTAAGCGGGAAGCGGTCCCTTTGTAAAGCCATTACCTCCGAGAGCGTCGCGCCGAACATGGACGCGCGGAAGATTTGTATCTACGAGGAAAGCATGAAGGTATATACATATCAGGCTGTTAGAATTATGTTATAACGCGAAGCGGAAACTTAATCTGTACTCGGTAATTGATATCCTAGTAATGCAATTAATTATTAATTTTTGTTAATGCAATTAATTACCCTCGCTTGGTCGATATCCTCCAACGTGGCCTTGCGAGGCTGCCGCTTGCCGTGCGCGCCAATCCGCTGCAACCGTCTGCAGGCCACGGTCGCGTAATGACTGACTTGCACGTGTATCGGCCACTTGGCGACCTCGGGGAACTGGAAGTTGGGATCGCGATGCCTGTTCATGTAACCCTCCAGGTAAGGCTCGAACGTGGCGCTAGGCGGCACGAAAGCCAGACACACAGCCATCAATTCCCATCCGCGACGCAGGCTCTCCTTCCGCGGATTCTCCGTCGTTTGCCGGCAGATCTGCACGTACAGCTCGTCCCGCAGTGGCGGCTTCGTGAACGCGGTGTTCACGATATCCATCGCGACGCCGTCCAACGTCATGCCGACGTTGGCCTTGCGATCCCCCATGTACACCTGAACCAGTCGGAATAGATTGCAGGCCTCTCTCTTGAGCGGCTTCTCACCGTCCACCATCGCGAGCATCGGTTGCGGTATCGGATCCTTCGACCAACTGAGAATGTCCCGCACGCTGAACTTCTTACGAAACAGCAACCTCAGCCCCTTCGGTCTGCCGCAATTCAAATTGAGATTGTCCTGCGCGTACTTCTCGATGTCGCCGCCGCCGCCCGTGCTGTCGTCTCTCCGCGCCTCGTCCAGGTCGGTGTTATCGACATTCGTTATACCGATGCTCGGAGTTGTGCTTACGGTGGGCATGGAGACCTGTCTCGTGGTCACCACGCTGTCTCTCGCTTCCGTCTGAGACACAATATTCGGCGGCGAAGGAGGTCGCGCTTGCGGCCTCGTCAGGGTGTCGGCTGTGGTATAATAAGTCGCTAAGCCCGCGGTATCGTAATTACCTAAATCTAAGAACCGTATAGAAGAATACATCGTTAATTACAACTGTTTAAAATAAAAACATATAACATATTTTATGCTCTTCAAATTAACTTCTCACCCGCGTAATGATCCTCGAGATATTCCTGACTGGAAGAATCGCCTTGATTGCTGGCCGCTTCGTCGTCGGCGAACTGATCATCGGAATCGTCATCGCCTCTTCCGCCCATACCTTCGCCCCTACCACCCTCCTCATCCAGAGAATCTTCACCTTCTTCTACTAATAAAGGATCTCCGAACTTGTAACAACCTATGTATTGTGAATAAAAGGAGAAAAACGATGAAGCACACTCCATCACCAACGAAGCTACGATGTCCGAAAGAGCTCTGGCTTATTACCTGATAATTTCGCTTGTTGAAGGATATAGTGTTGCAACGGTAATAAGTGATCAGCATCAGCCAGAAGGTTGCCGTAAAACGGCGATGGCGGGGGGCTGGGATTTCCATTACTTCTCTTCTTCTTGCCGTCGTCTCCTTCGGCGTGACCCTCCGTCTCCTCGCCCGCGGCGCTATTGCTGCTGCTGTTGCTGCTGTTGCTACTGCTGGTGTTACTACTGAGTCTCTGTCGAGATTGTTCGTGGGTCTGACTTATCATCAAGTAGCGCTCGTGCATAGCATCGTCGTCTCGCTCTCTCCTTCTCGCCTGCTGCTGCTGTTGCTGCTGCTGCAGCTGTTGCTGAATCTTTTGCTGCTGTTTCTGCTGCTGCACAAAACTGTAACTGCGACCCAACGGCTGCGGCACACCTTGCAAAAAGTAACAATCACTCGTCATTGTATTGCGAAAGGCACGCGCAGGTGCAGGAAGGTGGCGAAAGAAGTATAAAAGATTATCTCGCTTACTGTCCAGTGAATTATTGCACGCGGTGTTTCGCCTGTACTCCTTCTCCCTGTCGCGCTGCTCCCGCTCTCTCTCCCGCTCCACCGCTTCGAGACCGCCTCTCTGCTTCGATGAGTTGCCACTGTGCACGCCGGCGGACCTGCCGAGACTCTTGGCGGGATCGTTTCTCTCAGATAACATTGCACCGTACACGTCCCTGACATTCGCTTCCGAAAGCGACGCGGAACAGCCGTGATGCCGTCTACCTATACTACCCGTGCCATCCTGCGGCTGCTTATTCATGTTTCGCGCGTGCATGGAACTCGGATAAAAGGCTGGCGGGTTCGTCTTGTCGAGGCTGTTGACTCGCTCCCGATGATGCTGCTGTTGCTGTTGCATCTCCCGCTCTCTATCCCTATGGTAACGATTGCCACTCTCCATTAAGGAACCATACTTCTCGCCCGGTGATGATTTGTAACTATGGCTAAGTTGAACCTCAGGCGGACGATACGGAGGCATTTCCTGCCTGAAGACTCGGGATTCCATTAGGGAATCGCGATATGGCGATGTACTCGGCTCGGGACCATACGAGCCTCTACTACTTTCTCTACCTAGAATATCGGGAAATCGATCGATAACAACCGGAAGGATATATACGCGCGCGCGCGCGCGCGCGCGTGCGTGCGTGTGTGTGTGTGTGTGTGTGTGTGTGTGTGTGTGTGTGTGTGTGTGTGTGCATGGCCTTCATATAACAAATAATTATAGCAAAAACATAAAAAACATAAATATATTATACATCCTTACCATTTTTACTTTTGTCTAGATCCAAGTTTCCAGCCCTACCTTCACGTTGCGGATCAGTGAAAGTCTTCTTTTTGAACAGGGGTGTGCTGGTCGAGAGCGACAGGCCCAGCGGCGGTGGCTCTCCCACCAGCGACACGGATTTCTGATTTTTCACGCTTTCGAGGGTCCCGCTCTTGTGACACCTGGTCTCCAGGGTGCCGCCACTGTGCTGCCTGGGGGAGGATTGCGCGGTGTTCACCGGCGTTTGCGCGGCCGAGCGATGGTGATGCCTGTGCGGTGAGTCCAGCAGGCGGTAACCGGTCGACTCCAAGGA